TTTGAATTTAAACGTGAATTTCTCCGCGAATATCGATGCTATAGTAATGAAACACATATCATCTTGTAGCAAAAAACAAGGGCTTTCGATCTGTCATAGAAACACCTTAGTAGAAAATCGCTTCCTGCCGCCTAAATCTCGGCCAAAGTTAAAAATTAAAATTTTCAGGCGTAAATTTCTGGAGGTCATGTGATATTTCCGTAAATCTACGCCTAATTAAATTTCCTGATGTATTCACAACTTTTTTCCATGCTTAGATACTCACGCTTTCTTTCTCTTTGCTCCATTTCGAGACTTTCATGTCAGAGAAGGAGGGCAAAGTAACAAGAGTTGTTTCTATTAAAGAAAGTGATGAATATTTATAACTTTCTTCTGTGCGGTGCAAATAGACTTCACGATCGTAATATACTACTTAATTTTTTTTCAATTTGTTTGAGATGCAGTTAAGCTTCAGATTTATAGTATATTCACCTACAGTATTATTTTTTGTATAAAACAGTTACCAAAATTAAGACTTGAAATTATTTTCACAGGTCAAAATATTATAAATCAGATGCCAGATATGTGGCATGATGAATGTGCATATTTTTGCACATAACAGGTACCCAATATGTGTAGAAATATGCACATTCATCATGCACATATCTGGTATCTGATTTATAATATTTTGACCTGTATTGTATTTTACTAAGAATTGAATTTTGTATATTACCATTTTTTACATTTTTCAGAGAGAAAATGAAGCTATCATTTGTATACATTTATTTATCACAAGTGTCTTATTCCACATCAAAGGATTGTATCTGTTTAAAATTTCATCTGTATTTTCAAACTTATAATTACTCTGTATTAGTATAATCGTGACATATGTTTCAAAATTATTGAGCATTAAATCCATCTCTGCTTACTTGTAAAATTAACAGAAACTCATATGGATAATTTTTTGAAGAATAATTAGTAGTGTTATAATCAATCCATGGGAATTTCAGCTACATGCTTATCAGAAATTATAGTTATAAAAGGTTTCTTTGCACAAGCAGACAATTCGGAAGCTAGAATAGATCTTGCAAGTAGAATAAATTACATTGGTTGGTCAGGGTCTGTATCAAATCATTCCAGAGTTGTTTATCAAGAATTTTCTTGTAAGGTTTTATTTTGTACAAATATCTTTTCCAGAAATATGAAAATATTTAATATGTGATAAGCATTATTTTAGAGTAGTTTTCAAAGTCAAAAAATTCTCCTTCATCCATTCTTAAAAGTTTGTAGGTAAAGTAGAATTCTGAGCAATTCTCCACTCAATAGTATATTCCCAGATTTTAATTTCTTTCATTTGTAAATCATCTCGTTTGAGAAGAGATACCAAAGCAGATTCTGGTAAAAATGTAAAATCCGAACTATCCAAAATAAGATTTGGATATTTGACTATAATATCATTACAAAAATTTTCTAGATCTTTAAAGATAGTATGGTAGGCTAAAGAAAAATTGGTTTCAACCATGGAGCTTTAGTCTCAATAAGAGGGTTTCTAATTTTTTGGATAATTCCTCAAGTTCAAATTCATCAGCCACTAACATTAAGTCAAAAATAAATCTAGTTTCAACAACATTCTCTAAGTTAGCAATACCATCATAAATATATTTACATTAAATAACAATAATTAATAATTTTATTGATTTTTTTATATAAAATAAGTACGCTGTAACTAACATGAGAATAATATAAAAAATTTCATCAGAAATATTTGGTTTAGTAATTGTTTTGATACGTTTTTCATTGAGGATAACGTTTTCTAATTCTTTACGGAAATAGTGTGATCGATATTAATATATTAGAGTGTCCAGTAAAAGTTTTCTCATTTCTGACTTTCAATGATTACATTGTAATAGTCATCTTTACCATTAAGAAGGGGTTCAGCGAGACAATTTATCAAAAAATTCTAGTTCTTTTTTTTTGTAAAAAAGTTGAATACATTACGTCTAGTGATCAGTGTGACAGATCTGCATCAAAGTTTTATAATTTTCACCTATAATGGAAATTGCCAAAATTATGTATGAAACCTACACTTCCTCATAGATAAGTTTAACCATATCGATTGAAATTTTTATTTAAAGAACTTTGAGATTGAGTCTTTTTAATTCAAGTATTTAATATAACTTTTATCAGCAGGCCTGTAAGGTAAAGAATTCTTGTTGCCTCCAAGCACGTTGCATTTTTTAGCGTAAATATTGAGGCAGGAATTCCCTCAATGCTTTTCTATGGTTGTGGAAATATCATATCCACTAACTTGTTTCATTTATAACAAATTACAAAATTCGGATAGCCTGTGACACGTGTTAAAAATCCAGTCTATTCATTGGTTTTATTGCGAGCTATATCAAACGCCCTCTATAATCAGTTTTTCGCTTGTCCCAACATTTCCCCCAACAATAACTCCACAATCCGATTGCTTATTTGTTTGTTCTCCGTGATGTTAATATGCCCCTCGAAATCCTGAACGAAAAATTGTTTATTAGCTTGAATGCCCAGAATGTAAATGCACAGCTACAGTACATCGAAAAGTATTTTTCATTCACACCTTATTTGCGTAAATGTCTCCGAACTTTCGCCTCCAATACTCTCGTCTCCAATACTTTTCGTCGGCACTTTTTTCATACTGCGGTACGTCGTGAATTTGCTGGACCCATTTGCATATTTAAGTAAGACTTTATGGATCGAACTGCGCATTTTTCTGATCTTAATTCGAAAAATCAACAACGTAAAAATTTTGACATTGTGCAAATGGAATCGACGCATACAAATTACACAAGCCTACAATTTAAACAATCAAAAGCGAAATTCTTTATTATTATATAATATGAATACATTCATATATTAGTTTATAATTCCATATTTCTAAAATAGATTATTCGAAGGGTGTGAAGCGGGTGATAAATGTCCTACCCTGACTCCTACCCATGAATAACCTAACCCTCAATATCTATATAACCCCTGAATTTTGCTCAATCATAGAAATTTAAGTCGACCATACAAAATACAAATGAGGTGTGGTTGGTTTCGTGATTGCTTTTTGATTTTTTATGAGTAGTTAGTATTTACATTAGCTTAGCCAGTTTGATTTGTGCTACCACTGGTTTTAAAAAAAATATACTTTTTTTTTCTTATTCTGGTTCAATGTGACATTTCTTCGTGATTATTATCAAATAATAAAATAATAATGCAATTATTAATTTAATACATGAGTGATACCAAATCAAACGTCTTTGAAATTAAGGGATTGAGCCAACACATATTCGGCACCAGCCAAAAATTTTATTTGAACAAAACAATAGAATATCTCTATTATCAGATATCAAACTTCGAATTCTTCTTCTTTGGATAAATTAAAAGAATTTACAATACAAAAAAAAATTTTTTTTTGGCAATTGTGTACAGTAATGGACATTTCAGGTCATATCAATTTTCTTTAAGTCATAATTACTATAGGGTCATATGGTCATAATTATAAAGGTCATAATTAGGTCGTGGCCAACATTGATTGTGTATGTCTCATGATGCTTTTTTTCTTTAAAGATCAATATAATTTTTAGTTGTTTTGAAATGCTTTACCTAAAAATACCGTTCATAATCTTTTTTCTTTTATCTCTAACTAATCAAATGACAATTATTTATTATTATTTATTATTTAAGAGTCAGGTTCGTTACTTTTTTTCTCTTTATCGATTTATTTTTCACGAAATTTATCATAGATCACAATAAATTATAGTTACACTAGATAAATAAAGGAGCGGAATTCGGATTTGAATTCCGCAATTCCGCACGATTAACTGGCGAGAAAGTTTTTGTTTGTTCATTCATAAATATAAATAAACCAAATTTTCATCGTGTGGCTTGGGTTTTGGATTTGTTTAAATATCAAACTGAATTCAAATTATCATTTTGTAAAGATCTTACTATTTTTCATTATATTTTATTCTCAATATTTGGTGATACTAACTTTATCAAAAAAAAAAAATGCAATCTTGGGGCCTTACAAAGAAAATTCCGCGTATACATATTTATTTTTTTTTTGTAGGACACTTTAATCAATTTTACTTTTTTTTTTTGTTTCTTTTTTTCTTTCAATCCAAAATGAAACAAAGTATTTATCAGACGCAATCTCAACCTTTTAAATTATCTATTATTATTATTATTTATGCAAAAGAGGGATAATGAGTTTTAGAATATTAGAGCTTTTAATTTTCAAAAAGGTTCCCATACTGGCTGATGGCAAAATTCTATTTAGAAGAAAAGAAAAAAAAATGTGAACCAAAAGCAATTAATACTGATAATGTATATTCATTCAATATCTGTTAAAATTATTTATACAATTAAAATAATTAAAATAATTAAAATAATTTAAATTCCTTTTTTTAATTTCTTTTTTTAATTTCTTTTTTTAATTTCTTTTTTTAATTTCCTTTTTTTTATCCAATAATGTGATAGTGATAAATATAATAAAATTAAATAACAACCGAAAATAAATTGTAAATTAAAAAAAAACATATTTATGGCTTAGAAAAAATATTGGTAATTGCATATTTTTATTTCGTCGGAAAATCTTAAATCACGCGACTTACAAACATAATTGAAGAATAAATATTTTTTTTTTTTTAAAAAAAGAAATATTGTTCAATGAGATAATAATAATTTGTTAAAGGGTCCTTTTCTTTATTTGATTAAGGGGGGTTTTTTTTTACATTCTTTGGTACTATCATTTTCACTGTATTCGTAAAAAATTTTTTTCCGGCTTAAGCCAATTTGATGAATTTTTCCCCGACTTCCGTAATTTCTTTGGATCAATATTAGTGTCCAATATTTTATCTTCGGGATCCTCGCAGAATTTTCTTTTAAAATTTGAAGTCATCGAATTTGTGGTGGAAGTAATAATTTTTTGAAGGTCTTCTAACTTACACGAAGATAAATTTATTCCTTCTAAATATTTAGATTGCCTCATTGCGATCTGTAAATGATTTTTTTTTTTAAAAAAAAAGTTATAAATTTGTCTAAATAAAAAAAAAACAAAAACAAAAAAATTATAATAAATTTAAATTTTAACAAACCTTATTTGAATTAAATTCTTTGGTAAGTCTGGCCAAATCACTAACTAAATTTTCGATTCTAGATATTCTTTCGGCGAGTAACTTAAAACTATTGTCTTGACAACCATTACAATTTCTATTATTATTATTATTATTATTATCATTTTTGATTTTTTCATTATGGTTATTACTATTTACACTAATATTCTCATTCGTATTACAAAGAAAAGAATTATGATTGTCATTGAATCTTTGTACACGGGAGCAGAATTGCTTTCGAGTTTTTGTTGGATATGATTTTGAATTCATTATTATCAAAAAGATCTAATAAAATCGGATAGAATTTCGATAATTTGTGTTCTAATATAATAGATATGATAGATGATAAATGTTAAAAAATAATATTGTTGATAAATAAATACTAAGATAAGGTCAAACTAAATGTCTACTGGATTAAGAAAAAACTTTAATCGAGAATCAAAAGAATCAAAAGAATCAAGAGTAAATATATTTAAATTTTTTTTTTTAATTTCAATGTAATTGTTTATGAGATGACTAGAATTTATATTACTTTTTCGGAGATGATAATTTTTTCTGTGTAATAAATTCGGAAGTTTTGCCCCGTGTGCTAAAAAACAAATGGTTGTGTTTTTGTGATGCAATATAGTTGAGAGTTCTCGTGATCATCAATTTTAACTTTTTATGTATTTCATTTTCAACGTCTTTTTACTGGACATGTATTCCGAAGCACCGATTGTCCGGAGTTATTAAATTTAATTTGTTACATTAGGGAATTCTGAATCAATAAATTCTCCAGTTATACAATATTAATATTGTTTGAATAAGAAATGGATAAAAAAATAGTTTATTCAAATATTGCAAATGATATTGGAAATGAGTCTTCCGAACATTTTTCATTACTGGTAAATTTATTTCGGTATTGATATTATCATTAAATTCCTTTCCAATGAAAAAGTTATTTAAAAATACCAAATGGTTTTCCTTATTTCATTGTAAAACAAAGAGGGATTAAAGTTTTTTTTTACGAAGTGGCTGTTATAAAAAAACTAAAAAGGAAAAATTCAAATAGAACAGTAGGACAAAATTGGGACAAAGCTATTCTAATAATATTAAGGTTTTTCTAATGACTAATAAAAAATCAGTAACAATGAAACTCAAACAATCACCTCAGTTTATTGTTCGTGGCTTTATGTCTGGAAAAACGAATGATTAAATGTTAGAAGGTAAGTAATAATTCGAATGATTAAATATTAGAAGGTAAAGTAATAATTCGACAAATGACGAACTTTAAACCATCAAACGAAAAATAAAATGTAACTCTCCGGAAAAACAATTAATTCGGATGATAAAATGATAAGGTAATAAATTTCTAATTAGACAAATAAATTTTTCTCGTAGGCAATTTAGGTAATATCATTCAAAGTATAAAATTGTCCGAATCAACTACTTAAGAGAGTTAAATTACCCGGATTTATTCATTACAATAAATTGTTGTAATTAAGGTAATATTAATTATAGACAGTATCTCTTACTGTTTTAATATTTTTATCGTACAATCTCACATTGAATTCATTGAATTTTATTTTTATATTCATTGAGTTTTTTTTTTATTTTAGTAAAGATTTATTGTGATTGTGTGATTGATAAACTGTATTGTAATCTTTTCTCCTTGTATGATTGTCAAATAAGGGATAAAGCCATTTCATTATTTTTCATTACTGTTAATTTATTGTGCTATTTAATACACAAAACGTGATCGCTTCTTGTTCGTCATTTTTATCACACAAAGAGTTACTGTTCAACCAATTACGCTTAACTTATTGCACTGTCATAATTAATAACTTTCATTCTCTTAGATAATGATTGATACCATTGGAAAAAAAAAGACGCTTAACCAGTAATCATAAACGTTTAATCAGAAGAATTTTTAGAAATTAGAAAATTTTCTAAAATAGTAATGAATTAAAAGTTTATTATTATATTCATTAATTCTTTGTTTCCACATTTTTCAGGGATCAATTATATCCGCACTAATGTTGCATATCATGCATATCTATTATGCCATATAACGGAAATACCTAGAACATTCAGTCTGAATTTTTTAATTCTAAAGATCCTCCCCTAGATAATGATTGATCATATTGAAGGAAAAAAAGATCAATTAAATATTGTAGAAAAAAAATTATTAATCAGTAATTATAAACGTTTAATCTATCAGATCATACAATTACATTTAAAAAATGGAATTAAGTGCGTTAATCGAACTATGAACGCGTTTATGATTTATGAACTCAAGAAATTAATTGGTATTCAGAATAATAAACAAAAAAAAAAATCCTAATTAGATAACAATTAAAAATTTAAAAATTTAAAGTTTACCACACAAATTCCCAAATGAAATTCTTTTCTGACAGATCTAGGTAACCATTTCCCAAGAATAGTTTATAATTACTAAATTTATTATCGAATTTCCTAATAAATTAGAATTCATTTATTATTAAAATCTTATTGTTTCCTAATTTTCAAAGATCATCAGCATATACCATGTATGTCATATAACGGAAACTCGGGTCCAAAAAATAGTCTCGGAGTTAAGGTATCTAGAACATTCAGTCCCGAATTTTTAATCCTAAAGATAATTAACTTTCCTTTCTCTTAGATAATGATTGATCATATTGGAAAAAAGGATCAATAAATGTTGTGAAAAAAAAGCTCTTAATCAGTAATTATAAACGTTTAATTTATCGGAGAAGATGAGATTGTAATTTACATTTAAAAAATGGTTAATTATATTGAATTCATGACATTAACCAAATACTTGTATCATATTCAGAAGAATTTTTCTTAGCGACAAAAAATCTAATTTGGTAACAATTAAAAAATTTAAAAATTTAAGGTTTATAGATCTCGGTAACCATTTCCCAAGATTAGTTTATAATTACTAAATTTGTCCTATAATAAATAATAAATAATATCATTAATATTTTATGTCACATATCATGTATGTGTTACTTAGATGCGAGTATAACGGATGATCTTTAAAGTCTGGATTCAAAGTATCTGGCCAATTTTAATCATAAAGAATATTTTTCATTTTTTATAAATAATTTTTTTTTTAATTTGTCTTGCCTTCATTACATTATTATAATAATAGTAAATGATAATCATAATCATAAAGAATAGGAATAGTAATAATAATAATCATCAGTAACAAATAATCGTAAATAATAATAATTAAATAATAATAATTAAATAATAAATATTAATTCGAATTATTCTAAAATTCATTTATTCACAAACAAATACGGACTCGATGAAATTTAAAAATTTCGGGGGGGGAGGCTTTACGTCATATAAAAATATTGGCGTATTTTAAAGATTTTTCATGCATAAATCATAAAGAAAAAGGTGATCAATGAATCATTGTGATGTAAAATGATCTATTGATACATATATTAAGTGAACTTAATTGGATATTTAAATATCATAATAGAATAGCTATAGTATAAATAAATATATATATATCACCAACACATCAGCAAGTGTGATTCGTTGGGTTGAAGCGTAAGCTAATCACAATTTTTATTTATTTCTTTCATGATTAACTGTCGTGTTACCAAAAACTTTATCTTTGTAAATCTGTAAAAAACTTAATCTATATTATTTATTTATTTTTCTCTTTTAAGTAAATCATTGTTTTCTAAATATGATATTTTTAAATTATCAATTTGTCTATATTAGTTCGTATATGTCTTATGAATTTTTATGGTTTTTTTTTATGATATGGCGAATTCTTTTGGATTCATTTCTTATGCTTGTTTTAATTAATCGCTTCCATTTTAAATTAATAAAGTGAATATTTACAGATTAATTAAAAATTATTAATTGTTCTAAAATTAACAATAAAGATAAATTTACGAAATCCTAGCAAAATTTTTAAAATTAAGGGTTTACATTTTAATGTAACAAAGTTGTTATATTGTAATTTCAAAGAAATTTAGTTTTCAATGAAAAAAAAAAGCAACACTTTTTTTTTTGTCATTACGCGTCCTTAATTTTGCAATTACCAATAACAGGTTCGAGTTACTTATTAGGTATAAAAATGGGAATGATACTCCGATTATTCACGTGAGGGATACCTTTCAGGTATGAAAATGGTAATGATTCACCGATTTAGGAAATCACGTGCTGATTATCGTTAAATTTGTGTCAACAATGATGAATGCATCTTAAATTTTTAATTTTCAAAAATGCGAAATTTATTGATAAATTACCAACTTGTATTTACCGTATTTACTATATTTACTGTATACCTACTCTCTAAAGGTACCCCGACTTAAATATCTTGAAAAGCAGTGAGTAAATAAGAATTACCCTCTTATAATCCATAGTGCTTGGTCCCTATATATAAGGGACAATATTAAAATTCATTCTCTATTAGAACTCCCTTTTTAGTCACATCATTTGGTGGTCTTGAGGGGGAGTGCCTATAGAGGGGGGTCGATCGTTTACTGTATATACTGTATCATATTTACAGTATTTACTATGGATTAAAGAATTATTATTTTTTTAAAAAAAAATTTAAAAATTCAAAAATCTTATTAGACTTTATTTCATAAATAAGTGATTGTTTTATATTTAGGATAATTTCCTTTATTAAAATTTCACAAATTAATATCGATGTTAAAATTATAAAAAAAGAAATTTGTATCATTCAAATTTATGGAATATATATATATATATATGTATGTATGATATATTACACGCATTATATAAACATATAATAATTAAATTTTTAAATAATAAAAATAACAAATATTTGTAACTAGAATTATTAAAATATACCACGTGTACATGGCAAACTCATGTGTGTGATATATAACTTAATCAAATAAAAATAAATTACATAATTTACTGTAAAATGAATCATTAATTGTTAAACATCTACTTTATAAATGTTTTATATTCGATTGTATAATATACATAAATATTTCAATAATTCTTACTATAAAATTTGATGTTATTTATATTATCAAAAATGACATTTATTTATTCCTTTTTTTTTTTTTACACATCTGTCTTTGTTGATCAAATAAAGTGAACTAATGATGGATTTTAAACCCCGGATTTACTAATACCAAAATGAACAAAACTTAATTAACAAACTTAATGAGCAAACTTAACTTAATCAATAAAGTGTTTTTAAAATAAACACGCACAAGTTTTTCCGTGCGGAAATAATCTTAGATAATATTCGGATTTATTTATTTTATTTGTTTTGTTTTCTAATTTAGGTATTTTTTTTTTAACAAAGTAAATTGGTAAAAATGTTAAAAATGTTAAAAATGTTAAAAATATGCAAAATTTGGAATACCTTTTGCGTACAATAATTTTTGTATTAATATTCAACAATGATTATATAAATAAATAAAAATTTTCGATCGAATAATTATGTCAAAAGTAGAAAAGCAATTCCAAATTTGATATTTTGAATGTTTTGAATGAAATAATAAGCTAAAGCTTCATAATAATAAAGTAACACTAACAATTAAATTAACAAGTGGCTAATCAAAGGAGTGGGATAATAAGAATTTTGAAGTCACAAACAAATTATTCAAATATTCCGAAATCGGAAAAATTTATTGAAAAAGTCCGGGGAATTAACTTAAGTTAGTAATTAAATGGGACATGTTACACGAAATTAATTGAAAAATGTATGGTGAAACCACGGAAACTAATTTGCGATATCTTCATATCTATTACACAAAAAAAAAACAATAACGGAGTTACAAAATTTATTTTTATTCTTTGAAGAAGTATAATGCAGTTTTATTGATGAAAAATTACAGAAACGATGCGGGTTCCTTTTTGTTTTGATATTCAATTTATCTAATTTAGATTGTGAAATTAACTGATGATTATATCAAAGCGATTAAATTGAATGAATCCAAATACATTACATTCTTCATATAACGATGGAATAAAAATAAATAAAAATTGAAAACGCCATCCAAACAAAACTATAGTATCATTAATAAAAGAAAAAAGGTTACAATAATTTTATGTCAAAGAATGAAAAATTAACATTATGAACATTATGAAATAGTGAACCGGAATCAAATTCCTTCAGTTCGAGAAACTTTTTTTATTACTGACTTTATCTATCTTCGGAATTGGAATGAATTTGCATTTTTTTGATTTAGTTAATTATTATCGGAATCTCGGAATCCTCCATTTAATGTTGTGTATTGACAAAAGCAATCCCGTTATACGCGTTCGACAGCATAATCATATTTTCTTTGATTCTTGATGGCACAGGTACATTCTTTTAACGACGACTAATCATATTATATCTAAAAAAATTTCTAGAACTTCTATTTACATATTTTACATAGCATCCTACAATCTTTACATATCAAAAAATCTTGATTTATTAAATGGTAACGATGATAAAATAACATAACGTATACAATAAAAAATAAAAATAAAAAATAAACGAATTTCTCTAAATAGTTCTTCATAATATATTTAAAATAAATCTTAGGCAATATCTTACAAAATAAACATATTAAAATGTTTAATACATAGAATTTTAATAAAATAATTTGATTAATTCGTTTAAAACTAAGATGCGTATTCGAGAATAACTAACTTTGCATTATTTAGATTCGCAAAATCCCGAATCTTTACGTGTAGAATTAGATGATGTTTTTGTAACCATTTCACATGCACCTTGAGAATTGTCTTGCAGGGGTTCTGCGTGAATCAGATTATCTGTAGATAATACGGTAATTGGAGTGGTTTTGGTTGTAGGGTCGATTAAATCAGATGCATTTTTTTGCGGAAGTAACAAATTTGTAGTCTGTATCACTAATTTTTGTAATTCTTCAAGACTACATTTAGAAGTGTCAAGGTTTCTAATCTTCCAAGTGGTTCTTGTAGAATTATCTCGCTTTTTTTTTTTTTTTGTGTAAAAATTATATTAGCACGTATAGCGTTTTAAATTTTAAATATTTTCATTACAAAAAGAAAATTTATATTTATAATCACCTTTGAAAAATTTTGTGTGGTCTTTTTTAAAGTACTGACCAGCTGCTCTATTCGATCTATACGCTCTGATAAAAACTTAACACTATTAGAGCTTTCCTTACACCTAATGCAATTTCTAAATGATTGTTTTTCACACGATGCATTTAAATTTTTTCTCTCCTTTACACGAGAGGTACGTGCACGTATTTTAGTAGTAGATTGGTCCTTTTTGTGTTTTGGAGTTTTACTAGTATTTGTCATAATTGGAGAAAAAAGAATTACAAAGAGTGTAGGAATAAAAAAGAACGATTGCTTGTAATTTAATTTTCTGTTATGTTAAAAAAATTGATTCTCTTTTGTGATTTTTCGGCGTTCAATTTTGAAACTAAAAAAATCAATTTTTTTTTCAAAAATCAGGGAAATTGATTTCTTTATAGTTGAGCTCCTGGAGATTGTACTCCGGATGTGTAACATTATCATTATTTAATATTTATTTATTTAAAAAAATCAGCCACTTAAATTAAAAACAGATACTAAAATGGTAATTTATTATCCCAAGACAAAAGAAATAATAATAACCACTGGTCTATATTAAGCATCGCGTCGAAAAATTGAATATTAAATCCAGGCGTTCTTAATAAAAGCGTGTGGAAGTGTTTAATATAATTGATCCTCCACTTACTTTTTATTTATTACTTTTTCGGGATAACAATTCCTCAATTTCTATTATTAAATCGGTTTTTTTTTTTTACACATGGTAGTCCGAAGCTACACTTTTTTACATATGGTAGTCCAAAGCTATATCTATTTCAGTCAGGTTATTAAAAAAGAATGCTTTGTATTATACACATTGAAATATTGATTCCGATATTCTTTCCTTCGAGATATTTTACGGTTATAATCTACAATGAGTACCTTATGATTAATTTTCAAGATATAAAACACATAGCAGGTGGTGGATATATTAAAAAATGGCGTTTAACGGTACTGTGATTATAGTTATGTATGTAGGTGATAAAGTTACTCTAAAAGAAATAAATTTAACATAAATAGTGATGCGGGTACACTTGGTCTGAAAGAAATAAAAAGATTCTAAAAAAACCGACGACGTTTGAAATTTAATCAGGGATTTATTAAAAAAATCAATGCCGTCGTTCTTATTCTACTAATTGATATAAAATAATAATCAATTATAATTTCTAAAAAAGGAAAATGTTTATTTTTAATTAAATAATAATTTCTTTAGTAAAGTTACTAAAGTCACTGAGAAAGCAAGTATTGAATGCAAAGATTTATTACATTCTCTATTTTAATTTCTTTTTTTTTAAAAAAAAAAAATAAAAATGAAATTTTGTTAAACTGATCAAAACCACTAAATTATATTTAAATTTTCGCATGGTTTTTTTGTTGATTTTTTGTGAAAAATTTTCTGGAATCTATATTCCCATATCACATTTTTATCACTTGTTTGTGATACAATTGAGAACACGTGAATCTCATTGGTACTGTTTATGTTCTGCTGACCCAAACAATAATTTGGATTGTGCGAGGCAGTGTCCGTTCCGATTTTAAAATCGCGACTCAAAGAAAAAACTTGGGATTACCTTAAAATAATTTTTTTAACGACTATTATCTTAAAATAATAAACCTCAAGATTAATTTAAAGAATACTTAAATATGCCATGGATATTGAAAACATGTCAATGCTTGAATGTATATTGTTAAAAATAGATTAATATTTATCTTTTGTTAATGTAAAATAAGCAAATTAATTGATTGTAAAATCTGTAAAATCTGTAAAATCTGTAAAATCTGCAATAGTTACAATACATGTAATAAGTATACAAACTGCAATTTTTAATTATCTTTACAAAAATAACTCTGATAATATATATAGATAATAAATGCATATTTTTATAATGATTATCCTATCAAATTACTGTAGATATCTCATTATAAAAACCTTGCTTATCTATATACTGTCCGAATATGATAGAAACAGAACAAAGATAAGGTACAGACTGAAAGTTGCTTGTGGATCTGATTTTGAGCAAAAAAAAAAAATTCGAGTAATTAGCTGTACACATAATAAAAAGCCAATCAGTCAACTAATTTGATTTTCTGTCTCTTCTAATGATCTAGGCGTCGGTAAGTCTATAATGCATCACGTTTACAGAATTAAAATTTTCAACACCTTCTAATGTATAATAATGAAAACAATGGAGAATTTGGAAAGCAATAACATAATGGCAACCGTGAAGAAGGGTTACAGTGAGTAAAAAGAACATTTTATTAATAAAATTTCGCTTACATTGGGTTTCTGTTAATATTTTTTTAATGAGAAAAATATACTTGTGTGCGTCAACTATGTTACAATTCACTTAGCTTATATATAGTTCCAAATCCGCCCTTGCTATTTCTTCGTTCTATTACTTTAGGATTAAACCAACATAAATTTGATAAACACGTCTTTATTTCATCCCGATTACCTAGCAAAGGTCTTAAACCTATACAACCTATACTGCACAATAAATTTGCTTTCAAATTATTTTATTTTAATACATATATATTTTTTAATCTTACCTTTCTTCTTTATATTTGTAATATTTATAACTTGGACTGTATTTTATACGTATGACCGCAAAACATCTAAATAAGGAAACTGATCGCCTGCCATTTTTTAAGATACGGATTTTTACCAATAACCTTGAACTCTTATTGGATACTCTTTGCATTATTAAAAATATAATTTATTAGATTGGTTTACATTTTATTTGAATCTGCATCATATATATAGCAATGTAAATAATGTTTTATTTTAATTTGCTTATTCAGGATGGAATACGCTTAATTGTAATTTATCATTAATTATTTATTTTATTTTATTTACTAAGAAATTCATTAAAAAAAAAAAAAATTTTTTTTTTTATTAACCTTTTTAAAAAAAATTTAACTGAAATAAATAGTAAACATAAATACGTGACATATCCATCCACCAATCGATTAAATAAAAAAATTATTCAAGAATTTGAATTCAAAAGAAACTGTTATTCATAAACAAAAAAAAAAAAAAAAAACTATCATTTCTCTATCTTTGTAATGATTCGCCTTCTCTAGGTTTTTTGGGGCCTTGATATGTCAAGGCAGAACTTTGTACTGCTTTAGAATAAAGCAGTTGGTAAGCTTCTACGTATATTTTATAACATGGATTTGGTTCAACCCTATGCGCCATTTCTAATTTCAATCCACCTTGAGCCACTTCTCGATGACTAGTTAAAAGACTAGCGATCTTATAGTTTCGTGTGCTTATAATTGTATAACCGATATGACTATATTGTTGAATTAATTTTTCAATATTTGGAAGTTTGGGTGATATTTCAACTGGAAGGATTCCTTCTTTATAAAAAGTAAATTCGAGCTTTTTCTTAAAATTTAATCGAGCTTCGAATACAGCTTCGAACAATAGATCAATAAATCTATCCACTCTGGATACAGCAAGATCAATTATTTGAGCTCCACCGTTATGAGGATCAATTTTGAAGAAATCTAATTCGCGATTGATTTCATCAATTGAGGGTTCCGTTGGTGTCGACGGCCAAGTTATCTTTCCATTACGATAAAATTGTAAGATATACTTGAAGAGATTGTAATCCCTATCAAAGAATATTTCGTTTACATTTTTATAATTATTTGATTGACATAATTGTCCAAGTAAAGTTTCTGGATGAGCTGTAAGTGTAGAACGATATGTCTCAAACTAAATAATGATATGATATAATGTTATGTGTATTTCTATTTCAAATGTGATCCGATATGTTTATTATTATTATTATTATTATTTTTTTGATTACAATATTTTACAAAATCTTTACCTTTTGTCCGCCAATGTTTAATACAACACGATCCTGTGTTTTCATCTTTTCCAATTCTTTTGTAGCTGCAGCGGATGGTGTCGATTTCTTTTCTGGTGATTTAACAATATCACTTAATAAATAATTTCTAGGGGATAACACTACTAAGGGACCCTTATGTAGTCTTCTAGTTTCATTTATTGGTTCTGATGCACGCGCAGGATGTCTTCTAGTTTCATTTATTGCTTCTGATGCACGCGTAGGTTTTGGAGTGTGAAAATTTCTCAAATGTTGCAGAATTGACAAATTATTTCGAATACGAACAAATTTACTTTTTAATAAAAAAAATTAAGGTCATCAATAAAATATTATTTAACAGGATTTTTTTTTGGTTGTTTATTATTCTCGTATTTCCTTCAATGTAAAACATTTTTAATTTTTCGCTCACCTCCCACTCGATAACATTTTTTTGGTAACGTAAAAAGTGAAGATTTTTTTTTTTATCAAGATGCAAAATTTTTTTTTATCAAGTAATACAAAAATTATTACATCTATAAATCATGTGATACAATAATAAAAATTAAACTAAATATAAATATAAAATCTAAATAAAATAATTCTATACAATTTAAACGTGACCATCTATTGTTACACAATTTGATGTTTCATTAGAAAATTCTCCATTTATTACTACTACATTATCTAACGATGATGATTGAATCTCTACTGAATCTTGAGATTCAGTATTTTCTTGTGATTGATTTTGTGATAATTCGGATGAATTATTTAATGTGGGTTTAACTTGCGGGAAAAGGTCATTTTTAAGATCAGGTAAAATTTTATCTACTTTCTCCCAAGTTAAATCCCAAAGTTCTAATTGTGATTTACCACTAGTACTAGTCTCAACAGAATTTGTTTCTGGTGGATTAAAAACTCCCGAAGATGACATTACCAATATCATATTTTTCAATGATTCAGGCACCGCTTCACGCTATGGAATAAAATAAAAATAAATAAAATTATTTAAATTATCGGAAATTATTGTATAACAAAAGTAAAAAATTGTTGTAAATTATTTTTAATGTACCAAAGATTCATTATCTCCTGTCGCCATATAACGTTCCATTACATCTAAAATTTGTGACCATAATGAAGGCAAACCTCCCCATTCCGTTAATCTATTTAGATAATGTAAAAAAATTTTGCACAGTAAAGCCGAAGCACGTATTCTAGTTTCTTCCATTCCGATTGGATCAGCGTGAAAAATTTCGGGTTTTAATAATTGATCCAATAAAGGGAATAAAACTACATCAAAAATAACAACCCATTCCGTAACTCCATGTGACACTAGTTGAGGGTCCTGTAAAGATCTTTGAAGAAACGATATTGCATATTGTCTAACTTCACGACATGGATTATAACATTGTTGACTAAGACCAGTGAGAATTGGAAGCCAATAATTTGACCATGCTAAAATAATTTTGAAATATAAGTATTTTATGATTATAATTATTATTATTATTATTATTTTTTTTTTAAAAAAAAAAAACTTTAATTATGTGAAAAATTCCTACCTTCACGCTGCGAGGTTTTGGATTCGGCAAGTAATTTCGGTATTTCTGTATACAAGAGATGTAATAACTCGACAGCTTTCCTCGCTCTGTCGATTATAGCTGATTGACTAAATTATTTAAGAATCAATAATGTAAACCATCTAATAAATGAAAAATATTTAACACAAACAGAAAAAAATTTTTTTTTTTTTTCAAAAAAGAATACAAAGTTCAATAATCAAAAATAGTTATTTAAAACTTTTTCTAAATATTCTTACGTTTTTGATATACGAGATCTCGGAGTTCTCACCTGTGACTCTTGGTTTAAATCTTGTTCTAAAGCAAAAGATGCAGCGGATGCAAATTCTGCCAAAAGTTCAACACATTCATTAAAATTATCACTATTAATATTTTTATTTTCCCGAACTAAAGAAGAAATGGCATCAAAAGAATATTTAGAAGCTTGAGGATGAGTTGCAGTGGCTCTAAGAAGAGTAAAGACTGTTTCCCAAGGTCTTCTCCCTCTAAAATAAAGAGAGATAATCAAAATATTGGGTAAAATTATTAAAAAATAAATTACATAAATTAAGTAGATTAAGGAAGTAAATTGAATTGAAATTTTACCTAATGTATGCTGCATCAGATTTAATTAAATTCAAGATACCAGCCATCATTTGTTCCCCTACTGAATTAATAACTTCAAGTGGTAAAGCACCTAAAAGTTCTAAAGCTTGAAGTATATCAGAAACCATTTCATCCTAAATTATTTGGACATAATTATTTGGGAGATATTATTTGAAATAATTATTTAGAAATAAAATTTAATTAAATATCTCATGTCAAAATATATTTTTTCTTTAATTTACCTTATGAGTTAATCGAATACATAATCTCAATAAAGCAACCACTGTACGCTCAACCAACAAAATACTGTTATTCTGAGAATCCTTCAAAATATCAGTAATATGTTCAAATAGAATTGGCCTTTTTTTTTAAAAAAAAATTTTAAATATAAATAAAAAAAATAGAATCGTTTAATTAAATAATATTAAATAATTGTTAATAATAATATTTTTTTTTTTTTAAAAAAAAAAAAGAATAGAACGCCACATACCACAAATATTGAATCCTATCACGGTTTTGTAAAGTAACATTTATCATGAGTTCCAGGAAGAACACTGCGGCTGGATCATAACTATAGAATGAATCTTGAGAGGTGGAAGGATTAGGGATCGGAGGTGTGGAAAAATAATTGATTTTTTTGTCTCCAATCTTTGTAGCAGTATTTCCATCTGCAATGAACTTAAGTGCCTTCATGAGATGTTCAAGAGATTCTTTTTCTAATAACCTTTATATATAATAATAATAAATACATAACGTATAAATATTTTATATAAATTATAACAAAACCTAATTTCAATCTCCTAATTTTGAAACAATATAATAATTCTAACCTTATGTCTGCAAAGATTTCTTCTAGACGACAGACACTAACACAATCTACCGTACACATACAACACTCTATTTCTTCATTTGTAGGATCACTACGAGAAGACTCATAATTACCAGAATATGGGGACAATAAATATGAAGATAAAGCAGAAAGTAATGAATTATCGCGGGACCTTTCTTGTTTAGTAAGTTGTGAAGTTTTTGGTTTTAAAGGAATGGTTATAGTTCCAGCAAGAAAGTCTTCAACTTGTAACATGGAAGTTGGCAATAAAGAGTTGACAAAAAGATTTTTAATTATTTCTAAAATCTAAAAAATAATAATAAGAATTTTTTAAAAAGAAAATAGAAAAAATATGGAAATTAACAATGATACAATTTCTAATTTATAAAAAATAAAAAAAAGTTCATAAGCCTTACATATTTCCATCCATCTCTAAGTATATTTCCATGTTCATTGGCAATCTCGAACAAAACCACACATGCTAATTTACCCTGATAATTTCGTCCAAATTGTATAGCAAGATCACTAACTGTAATTTCTGTATTCTGAACCTCGATAGCTGGGTTATTGGCTGTTTCATTGGAATATTTAGTACCAAGTAATCCTGTCATCTTAGATAAAGACATAATAATATAATCAAATACATCATATAACTTGTATTCTGCAGCTAACATCGCACATTGTCGAAATCCGGTAATGGCTTTTTGTAATGTTGCGTCATCTTGTGCAGTTCCGTAGGCTGAATAGAATTATTAATATTTTGATAATTTTAGAACCATTCGTGTTTATAAAAATATATGAAATGTAAATGAAATATAAATGAAATATAAATAAATGTAAATGAAATATAAATAAATAAATGTAAAATGTTTACCATACGATGTTGCGGCAACTGTTGGTTTCCAAGCAATAGTAAACATATCTTTATCATATGAAGACACATCACATATTATAAATGGACCTGTAAATTAAAAACCAAAATTCTTACTTAATAAAGTTATATATATTATTCATAACTATCTAAAATATTTTATCGCATATTTGTATCACGTATTTACCAGTGTATTCTGCTCTCCGTAAGAGCTCTTTCCATGCATAATTGAACCCTAATTGACCTTCATGCTCTTCGGGCATAATTATTTCCTTTTTACGTATAGCATCATATATTGCATGCTATAAGAAAAAAAAAAGGGAAAAAAAAAGAGAATAAAAATTAATTTACCGAAGTCGAGAAAACTAGAAAATTGCATAAGAAAATACTTACAAGATATTCCGAAGAAAAATTTTTACCATTATTAACATTGCGTAGGTTTTTCATATAATCTTCAATCGTCATACGGCGCTAAATGTAATTTAAATATAAAAATTTATTCAAAAATTATAAAAAATACTTAATCAAATTTTCGAATATATATAAAAATTATACATACCCGAACTTGTGGATTATGTAAATCTGTGTTTAACATTATAACAGAATAAGACAAAACAAATGTAGCATCTTGTGACGCAATATCGACTAAAAAGATGTTAGCAAAATTAGATATATCTTTTCTTTTTTTTTTTAAAAAAAAAAAATAAATCCAAGAAATAAATGAATTCTTAACTTACGTGGACCAGTAGCAAAATAAGTTGCCGCAAAAGTTTCCATAATTCTTTCAATCTGTTGAGCTTCCCCAGGTAAACGAAAAGTTTCAAGCATTTCTCTTAAAGCTTCATCAATTCGTTTCTGTGATATTTTTTGATATTTGATTAAATATTACACATTGTCTTAATATTAAAAATATATTTCATAATTCAAAAAACATACCCCATCAAAATCAAAAAGTCCAACAAATGCTCGCAAAATATCAATATTTGCTGGTTTAGATAAAAAATCTCCTAAAAGTTTTTTACTTAAACGTGGCGTAGATTTTAAAAATTCCGCAAGACTTGTATTTTTGTCAACAGAAGGATCATTATATATTATACCATGTGCTATAAAATAAAATTTATTATAGTCAGAAAAACCATATACAACTAAGACTATTACTAAAAAAAAAAATAACTCTTATGTAAAGATATAATACATTCAAGAAATTCAATCCCTTGTTTTGGATTCTCATTAAACTTTGCAGCGCCTTCTCTTAAAATATTTTTCTTCTGCTTAAGACGCAAGAGATCAGATGCAGAAGGATAGGTCTAAATTAAATATCATGAACATTTTTTATTAATATTTTCTTCATGTCCAACTCTTTTTTTTTTTTTTTATAGAAAAAGAATGTATAATTACATGCCATAGGTCTTAATCCACTATTATAATCTGTTGCCGTCATTTGATTCCAAGATAAATTACAAGTATATTTTGGTTTTTCTGTTTTTTCTTCTAATTTCTGATAAAAATAAATAAATAATATTGAAAACTTCAATCAAAGAAAAATTTGAAATATTAGAAATATATTGTATATACTATTTTTGTTGTTTACCTCAGATTGTAATCTTTCTACCATGTGATTTACATACAGTAATAAAGAATCTAAACAGACAACGTGTGAATTGCCAAACGAATATCCGGTAGATTCTGGGAAGGAATTCTATTAAAAAAATGTCGAAATTATAATTAAATCAAATTTTATCTAAACTAATAATAATAAATATCATTTAATGTATAAAGTAAAAAACAAAACCTTGCTCAAAAATTTAATTATTTCTTCAAATAAATCTCCACAATCAACATTACAATCATAATTTAACCATAAACCCATCATGAAGGAAGGATCTCTGGAAAATTGACCAAGTGATTCGAGTAATAATTCTCGAACTTCACCAGTTGCGAAAGTAGTATCACCACTTGTACGTAAATTACGTTCTCTAGTACTAGGTGTCGATGATCCAGAAGTAATTGGTGAATCAATATTACTATTTATAATTGAGAATTCTGAATTAAATGCAATATTTCTCAAATTATTTGTTGGCGGAGTGAGTCTTTCTATAAGAAATGATAAATATAATTCTTGTTGTAATTTAAGATAAGGGCGAAGTGTCTCAAATACAGTTGATATGACACGAAGAGCAAGTGACAAAAGGGCAATATTATCCGTACGAGCAAGCTCGATAATTAAAAAAAAAAAAAGAATATGTTAAAATTATTTGATTATGAATATTATTTTTTTGGGAGAGAGGAATCTAAAATTTAATGACTCACTTGAAATAAATATTTACACAATTCATCGACTGCAAGATTTCGTAAAGGTTCAAAGTTCCCTATTGTTTTACCACCAACTTCAAATGCGGCATTTAATATACTTAGAGCCATAAGTCTCATAGTATCAGTATGTTGAACATCATGAGGATTAAGTAAAGATATAAGAACCCGAAGCAACTCTCGTATTGATGGTAATCCAAAAGGCTTTGGTTCTGTATAATGAATATGAAATGAATATGAAATGATTAATCAACAAATAACTGAATGTTGTATGTAATAAATACATAAGAAAATACCTAAATCTCTCTCATCTTCGTTTGCCGCATCAGCATTTGAATCATGACCTTTTAATAAATAAATAAAAAAATTATTATGGTATTAGAAATGAAAAACTTTTAAATTGCTTATTATGATTTATTCATTAAAGTAAAAAATAAAAATAAAAAAATAAAAAGATAAGAAATTTTTATTACCAGCATCTTTTTCCTGATCCACAATAACTTCATTATGAACTTCTTCTCCCTTTTCATCTAATTCAACTAATTCATCAGTTGCATCGTCTAAAGACAATTCATTTATGGTATCATTTTTTGATGAAGTGAATGAAGATAAAAAGGCTGAAGATACATTATCATATTCAGAATTTAAGGGAAGGCGAGGAGATTTTGGATCAGGAGGCGCCATCCTCACTTGAGATTCATGAATAGAATTTTTTTCTCCATCCACTTCATCTTGTGAAAGCCATTTTGTAGGTTCTCCTTCAAGAGATTTAAGTCTATTTTAAAATTTTGAAATAATTTATTAATTTGTGTCCATCCAAAATGTATAAATTTAAGATATATTTATTTAAGTTATTTAAATTTTAAAAATACCTCTCAAACATGGTTTGTACCATAACTATCATTGTATGTTCAGCTGATCGGCGCAACATTTCTTTTTTTTTTTAAAAAAAAAAAAAAAGAGAGAGAATTTTACTTAAATACTTCAACTACATGAATTACATGAATTACATGAATTGCATGATATTAAACAAATTTAATATTATATAATAATACCACTTAATCTCATTTGACAACACATGCTCAATCCCGTTTCCATCATTTCACACAATGCTTCATCACTTAATACATAACCGACTTCACATGTCAATGCTAATTTCAGTATATGTAATATTTTTAGTAAAACGAATTCATCTGAAATTGAATCACTAGCTTCAAATTGACAATGTGTGGCAGCTGATGAAAGCATTGACATTGCAAGTGGTAAATTTGGTGAAGTTCTATTAATTATTCTATATGTTAAAAATTTTTCAACACTTCCAAGAGCTGCTGCTGTTATTGGTCCATTAGTATCTCCTGACCGAACAACCTCTAGAAATGGTTCTAATAACATTAAAGCATCAATTTCTTTTTTATCTAATTAAATTATTCATAAAATTTAGATAATTTAGATAATTTAGATTTAATTTTATAAAATAATAATAAGGAAGAATCTAAAATTTTATTGATTTTATTAATTTAATTCAATTATATTAAAAATACCTGATACATTTGATAATTTCGCTCTAAGATTTGCGAAACCAATCATTAAAGGACTTTCCTAACAGAAATCAACTTATAATTTTTAATAAAAAAAATTCCCATCCCCTCCCTCCCTCTCTCGAATAAGATATAAAAATAAAGATCAACTACTTTACCTGATTTCTATATCCAACTTCCAAAACTGAAGAACTACCTCTTAATCCCATACTCATACCTAAACCACCCATGTTTAAACCACTAACCCTCATTCCTGACCAACGTGAATTTTTCCGCATCGCACTTGTAACCGAAATAATTTCAGCATATATTAGTTGAGACCAGCCCAATTCACATGTTGCATTTAACTCTATAGAATCATCACAAACTTTATGAGACAATTCGTCTTTTACTCGTTGATTGCCAAGTTGATGAATTGATTGTTTATTAATATTTTGTTGTTCTATTGGAACTTTAGGATGTGCCATTTTCAAGAAAGATCTCTCAACCAACAATAAAATCGTCTAATGTTTTCGAAAAAGGGAAACGATAAATAAAGGCACGTAGAGAATTTTTCTATTAAATTAATAGCATATAATTCAAAAAAAAAAAATTATAATCTCTTACGTGCTAAACAAATCTATTTAAATTTTAAGCGTAAAAATGATCATTTTATCATTTATGCTGTGAAACATCACTATTTTAATGCACATGTACAACTTACATAAACATTCAAAAATAAACATTCTGCATAATTTTTAAAAATTATGTTCTGATTTATTAAATTAACATAGTTATCATAATATAAAAAAATATAAAATAATATAAAATAATATAAAATAATAAAATAATATAAAATGAAAATGATCTTTTATGTCTCAGTTATGTGTTTAAATTACAATTAATAAATTTGAGACAGGAAAATGAAATTGTTAAAGATCTTTAAAAGTGACTTTTAAGCGCATAGAATGATGAAGATAAATTTCTCTGTAGATAATTAGAGTTCCTTCTTTTATAATAAAGAAGATTCTATAACTAATGAGTTCAATTTCTGGTTTTTCGTTTGCTACTCACGAGAGTCCATAAGTCTTGGAGTGATTTTATAAGTCTGTCGGCATAGGGAAAGTGTGAAAACCGCCAACAAGCACAGCTACTCTAAGAGCGGAAATTATCAAACATAACTACTTTAAGAGTGGAAGTTATCAAGCAAACAAATTCCAGAAGTTTTGCCCTCAAGATACACAAGTTTATAGCAACCCTCGATTAAAAAGGACTATTGGAATAACAAAGATTCTAGGTTAGGCTTGTTTTCTAAAAAGCACGATGTTAACAAATAATTAAAGGTTATGATAAAGAAATATTTGAATAACTCACTTTTTCTCTTCATTTCGGCTATGCATAATTTGTCGTGAAAAAGAATGCGATACCAAAGAAAGAATGGTGATCTTTGGTTAGAAGATCATGATAAATATTTGTCAACAATATTACAAGTTTACTACAAGTCTACTATAATATTGTTTTCAAACCACCCTTTTAATAAATAAATAAAAAAGAGCACTTTATAAACTTTATAAGTAATGAAATAAAAAGTCATCCCGCGATAACTATTCCATAAAAACATGGACAGATAATATCTAAGCCATTGATCTGTCGGTAGCTCTTCACTTTTTTTTTTTTTTTAGAAATCTCGAGCTTTGTTTTTTTATATCCTGTGAACGAAAGTCTTATTATCCATTCATGTGCTAACATTTATTTCTTTTTTATAATAAAAATACTGTGGATTTGATAATATTTGTAATCGTAATTTCTTAATGTGACATTGAATTCAAATAATTGTAGAATTAACATACAAAATGCATAACGATCGTATTAAAATTTTATATAAGGATGTCATTTCACCTTTTATTAATTTTCTTTAAAAATTTTTTAAAATAAATATTTAATAATTCACATAGCAATTTTTTTTTCTTATATACTGTACTGTACATATAATTAGTTAGTTTTTGATCCATTAATATTTTTGAAGTATGAAGTATTTAGAAATATTTTAGCAGCCACGAACTTACAAAGGTTAATATTTTGAAAATATTATGGCTAGAAACTAACATTTTTAAAGATATTTTGAAATATTACAACCATAAAACAGGTGAAGGTTTATGACCATAATGTTTTACCTTTGCAAGTTTATAGCCATAATATTTTCAAAAACATAACCTCTGCAAGTTTATGGCTGAAATATTTACAAAACATAAATCCCTAGAGGCTTCAAAATGAAACATTACACCATAACAAGTCCAGATAAGTAGGCTTCATGAAATTCATCAATCTTGCAGCTCTTTTTAATAATAAGTTCATATCTAACCTTAATTTTTCTGGCTTTCTTAAATAGTTCTTCCTACTTTACAAGTACAAAACCCAAGTCATTCCACGATTGATCTTCATGAAAAGAATGATCATATTCAGGAAGATAGGGTTTGGCTTTTTCATAATACCTATTCGCTAAATCTTTAATGGATTGCGTTTCTTCATTTTTATCATATTTACGCAGACTCTGCAAGGCATGTTCATTTCTTAAAAACCAACGGTAGTATTAGTATTCACTAGTATCCCTTTTGTAATGTTAAGTGCAAAACTCGCCTTTTTCCTACTATGATTCTATATACGTTATAAGGTCAATATACACGCCTAGAAGCATTGTACTATTCTTAAAATTGTCCAAGCAGTTGTCAAAGCCATATTCAAATAGGACTGCTTTATTCATAGATATCCTATCATCAACAGAATTTTAACAGAATGTCCGCAGACCTCGGAGGAGTCGAGTTTATGGTTTGAGTAGTCTTTCGTTTGATATGACGATAGCTATTATTTTTAAATACTATAGCAAATCCTAAATTATTTACTACGCCGAAAATAATTTTGAGGCAAACAGTAATGCTCCTTCTACATGATCTGCAGATTCTTTACATACTGTACAATATTCAGAATTCACGTAGCAAAATAGTCAACTTATCGATTCGTCGCTATTTTGTAAAAAAAAAATACCTTTGATTTATTTTTGTGAAAATGAGTCTATGGATATATCGAAATTTTGTAGATTGAAGCATATTTATTAATTATCTTCCAACACATCATTCTTGACACTTCCTAACGTAACCATGAATACCAAACTTTTGGAAAACGTATATTCATCTTATTTATCATATTTATCAGAAGGGTAGTGTTACAGTTTTGTGTTAGAACTGCGTACCAACAGATAATTACTTCTTTTGATGTGTGCACTATTCCAAATACCATATACATCGTGTATTTGGTTTTAAAAAAAGAAATCTTATTAAATATCACATTACTGCTGAAAATTATATTTATTAATATTTAGCCATTTCTATAAGTTCTTCAAAAAAAAAAAATTTTTTTCTATAATCAATTTTGAATCATTGCAAGAAATAACAAGTTTCATAGTTTATTTCAAATTATTTTTTGAGTTACAAAACATAAAAGAGAATCTTCTCGCAATATATAATGCAATTCACGAATTATATGATTTATATAATTTACATATCGTTAAAAAAAAAGTTTTTAATTAGGAAAAAGAATCATGTTTGCACGTTAAAAATAATAATTAACAAAAAAAAAAAAAAAAAAAGCCCCGATAAAAAAAGCCTCTACTTTGAATAAAAATAAGCCATGGCTCAAAATATTCCAAAATTGACTAGTCCAAGCCCAAATAGAAGAGGCTTTTAATAACAATAATAATTAGTATAATTTCATAATGATTCCCGGGCTTGTACAATTTGTGATATATTTTGTGTAGAAAGATGAATGATACTTTCGAACTATGAATCATTATTGGTTTGAATTCTTGATTCCTATTGATTTTTCTTTATTGTTTATTCTCTTGATAATGTACGGAACTTGTAAGTATTACTACATCCTTTAGTTAATGCTCTAAAACAAATTTTTGTATATGTTCATGAGAAAATGTATCATTGATATCAAAAGAAAAGATGATGGTGATATTTTTGATCATTTTTTTATTTTGCAAAGCATCAATTTGCAATTTGAGAAATTTGATCGATTTTTTTTTAATAAATAAAAACTTTTTACAACTAAAATTTCTTACAGCATAAATTGTTACCATCTTGAGAAGTAAACAATCGGCATCAACATGGCCAAAACTCGTCTCCAACTAATTAATTTAGCCATTATTGTATGTGCAATAACTATTTTATCAAATATAGTCGAAGGGGTATTATCATTGATTCTTGGTAGTCAATCAAATTCCGTAAGTCTTATTATTTTTGGAATTGGTTCGTTTGTCGAAATGACTTCAGCATCTCTTGTCTTGGGGCGTTTTGTTGTGGAGTTAAGAAAAAGTATCCAAATCGAGGAAGCAATTGTTGATAAAACGACATTTATCGATATTGAACGTAAAACAACATTAGGGATTGGATTACTATTTCTTGTATTAGCATCAGGAACATTTTTACACGCAATAATTTCGTTAAGTCAAAGAAGCCATCCTGAAAATACAATAGCTGGTCTTATAATTTCTAGCGTTTCAATTGTATGTATGCTAGCTGTATACATAGCCAAAAGATATTTGGCCGCAAAATTGGATTCATCGTCATTAGCATCTGAAGCGCAATGTTCATTGGCGTGTATTAAAATCACTGGTGTTCTTTTTGTTAGTAGTTTAATTTATATGATATGGGAAAATATTTGGTGGGTAGATTCCGTGGCAGCTTTAATATTCAGTACGTTTTTTGCGAAGGAAGGTTACGTAATGATTAATTGGGCATCAAGTGAATATTTTACTGGTGGTTTTGAAATAAAAATTGACAAAGAAATTAAAGAACAACAAAAAAAAAAAAAAACTTTAAAGAATATTCCTGATATTGATTCAGATATTAAAACGGAAGAAGGACGATCAGATAATGATATCAATGAGAAGAAGGCGGTGGTTCAGGATGAGAAGGATATTATTAAATGTGTTGCACCTGTTAGATGGGGACACAGATCTAACAGTTTTAAACATGATAAATCAATTAATGAAACGGTTCATACAACAAATTTGTTAAAGGCTTGTTGATTTTGTAATATATATTTTTATATCATATATTTCATATATTCTTTTCTCTATTATATTACATTAAAAATGAAAAAAAAAATGAAAAAATGAAAACCATTTGAACAAACAGAATTTTTTAATGCTAAAATAAATTAATTATCTATGCTCGCTATAATTTCATGAATTAAACAAAAAAAAATGAGGAATTCGTTTTTCTCTATCTAATTCTTTTTGACGTATAATTAATATTTATGGTTAGCATGACCTGTTGCTTAAAGTTAAACAATCAAATCTCCATATTTAAGAGATTCTAAAAATAATCTTTTTTTTTGGATGGACTAATGAAATAAGCAAGATTAATAGACAACAATGTCTGAAAATGTTTAAAAAACAAAGAAAAGAAAATCTTGGCAATCTATTAATAGACTAACCCTACATTGTTCCTCCCAACTCGGTAAATTAATAAATATGGTAATTTACAACCATTTTGGCGGGATTTAAAAAAATCCCCCCCCCCGATTTTCATCATTATTTCTAAAAATAACATGTCGCGAATTCCTATTATCACTTTATATCGCATTTGATCTGTTAATAACTTTTTTTTAAGCAATAAAGATATCGTTTTAATTAACATAATCAAAATCTTTTAATTTAGGAATTTTTGAAACAAACTATTATGCAATTTTAGTAAACAAGAGATACATATTGGAAATTTTATTTAAAATTCCGACGTAATTATGCATGAAGTACAAGTATTAGTCCTCCGATGTGATAATTTAAACGATGGAACGGAATGGAGTCGATTTTGATTTTGTTTAACTATTAGAAAATCTAAAAATAATTTCTAATTGTAACTATATCACGCTTTTTTAAATTGTAAGCGGATTGTTGTTCAAATACAAGCAAAGTATAAATAAAGCGTTTAATGTGATGGATTCCTGTCTCCACTTATTCCTAACCATTAATTTAAGAAAAAAAAAATAATATAAATCAAAAATGGCAACTTCAAAAAAAAATTTAAAGAATCTCTCAAAATCTGGCGTAAAATCCACACGAGGCCGCAAAGCCTTTATTACTCCAGAAAATTTAGATCTTACGGGAAAGAATCATATAATGATTGTTCGTAGTGTACAAAATACAAACGAAAGAAAGAAAAATAATAATTCATGTATTAACTGTGATTCAAATTATCAATATACTGAATTAATCTCTCAAAATATCGATAGACTCGAAAATCTTGTAAACAATTTGGGAAAGGTTATTTCTAAGGAACAAAAACCGAAAGAGTTTTCCATAAATAATCTTGATAAGTTAGATTTTACAAAAATGAATACAGACACTTTAATTAAATGTTCTACTTTGTTTAACACCCGGTCACCACAACCGCAATCTTCTGTGAAATCTTTCAATTCGAAGAACTCGGGGGATGATCCTAAAAATGAGTTTTGCTTTTTTTGAATTATTTGTCATTCATTTAATTCGTTGATCTATTATTCACAAATCTTTAAATAATATAAATATCTGGCAATTATCACTTTTTTTTCAAAATTATTCGTAAAAAAAACCCTCCCCACCAAAAAAAAAATGGCAATTTTCGTTATTTTCATAAATCATGTTTGTTTGTATATATAAATTTCCCTAAAATAAGAACATTATATGCATTTATTTCTCAGTTGTCTTTTGTTAGTGTGTATTATTTAGAAATAGTAATACAAGTACATTTTATAAAATAAAAATTGTAGAGTACATTTTAGATTACACGTATACGAAACATGTTTGATCTTATTATATGATATATCATAAAAATTAAATATAAGTAATATAAGTATAATAAGAAGTATTGTAATTATGTAAATTATATAGCCCAAATCCGTTAGTATAATAAGCATTGTAATTATCTATATAATCGGAGTCGACAAATTATGTGACATGTGACATAATGATTATCAAAATCCAATCATGTGACAAGTGTCACGGATTTAAGAATATTTTATTTTAATAAGTTCAGAAGAGAACCAATGAAAGTTAGAAATAATTCAAATAAAAAAAAAGAAAATTAAAATTAACGTAAATTAAAAAAAAAAATAAATAGTTTTTTCTTCATAAACATAATAAAACGTGTACGTGTCCATAAATGTTACAGGTTAAACCGATTTTTTTTTTAATTAATTCCAAATGTAGTTATTAAATGGAGAAGAACCCCGATGAAAATACCTCCTTTGGTTCAGAAATGAAAATAATTATTGCCGCGATAACGAATTAAAAGCAATAAAAGCATTAATAATAATTGTGAATCTTGTGATCTTTCTCTTTTAATTGATTTCTTTACCAAATTTGAAAAAGTTTCACCGTGTGAATTAATATTACAATTTCAAAGATAAGAAAAATACAGCGTGAACTTGACAAAGGATTGTAGAACATTCGCAGAACAGGTAAACACAAAATTATATTTAAAAACATGTTTAATCTGAAACATTTTCTATTTATTTACTTGTAAGCACATCAATTAAAAAACAAGAAAATATGAAATTCTATAATGTCACGAATATAAGCAATTCATTCTAAAACAATAAAACGATATCAATTTTCTCTTTATAGCATAAGCGACAATATTCTACACGTATATTAATAGTATATTAATACTTTATCAGGAAGAGATGATCACGAGATATTCAAGAATTATTTAATATAATCTATAAATAAATACTGAAATATAAATAATGTTATTAGTAATATTGCATGCAAAAATATAAAAGAAATAACTATTCCATTTCTTATTATTCTTATTATACAGCGAAGCAAAGCTATTTTCGGAAAATCAGTAACTATTGTATTAATGACGTAATGTTTATGTTTATGTTTTTTACATGTTCCCGATTTGTTATTATCACGTTATTTATTTATCATCTGCATTAAAAATTTCTAATAATAAATCCGACTAACAAAGTATACTATTTTATTAATAACACATATTTCGTAGTTACTAAATTATTTCTTGGAAATATCAATTTGCCTGTTCCATCTTTCTTTATATTTTTCATATTTGATGTCTAGTATTAAATTAAGTGTAAAAAATTTATATAATTAACTCCTCCGGCTTTTATTTTTGTGTAAAAAAGAATTAAGCAAAGGATAGTAATTCTCCTTGAATATACAGCGGTGTGCAAAAAAAAATGCCAATTTTTGAAATCACGTTATTGAAAATATTTATTGTATCATTTTAAAGCCGAAACTCAGCAGATTTTATTAAAAAAAAATTTAATATGATATTCTTTATCCATTTTTTTTCAATAATTTCTTTACAACGTCGTGGCATTAAATTTATAAGATTAATTAGAACACTATTTGGAATTTTTTCCCATCCTTCACCCAAAAAACTTTCTAATTCGTTAAGATTTTTTAGTTTACGTAACTCCACGTTCCTCTTGACGATTGCCCAAAGATTTTCAATAGGGTTCAGGTCCGGACTATTGGAAGGCCAATCCATAACTTCTGGGACATTATTATTAAGAAATTCTTTAGCAATACGGCTAGTGTGCTTAGGGTCATTATCTTGTTGTAGTCGCCAATGTCCTTTTAACATTCTATTAACCTCCGGAATATGTTTTTCCAATATTTCTACATAGAATTTCCCATCCATTATACGTTGAAAACAAAAAAGACTTGTCTTACCCTTTGTACAAAACCCCCCATGCGAATATTTTTCTTCGGTCCTTTGGCATACGATGAACTGGTCGTACATTTTTGAACCAGTGTTTAATTGTATTACGAAATAGTTGAAAAAATGTTTCGTCGCTAAAAAGTGTTTTTTTCCAGTTATCATCTTGATGTTTTCGGGCCCATTCAATACGTTATTCTTTATGGGTAGGTGTACAGAGAGGGAGAGCATTCTGGTATCCAAGGTCGGCCAAATGTCTTGAAACTGTTGAACGGGAGACATTTACTCCAATATTTTCTAATTTAGAAGTAAGAGCCACAGAATAAAGTGATGGTTGCCTTCGAATATACTGCCCAAGTGCCCGCGATGCTGCCGGTGTTATTTTTTTGATACGCCCATTACCACCTTTATGTTTGACATCTCCGGTTTCTTTTATTTTTTTAAGGTTTCGATAGATAGTTTTAAGTGGAATCTTTGTTAGTGAGTATATTTTTGAAGCATTGGTTATTCCTTGCCTCCAGAAATGTAATATGGTTTGCCGTTGTGTTTCTTGCTTGGGGGGGTGCCATTTCAATGCTTGGTAAAATATAATTTTTATTAAAAAAAATAGATAAAATTTTTTCATAGAACGATAGGCTTTTATTTGCATATTAGTTTGTGTAATTCTGGCCAAAATTGGTTGAGTTACACTCGTTGATCGATTTTATAAAAATTGTCATTTTTTTTGCACACCACTGTATAAGGTATTTAAATGATAATTGTAGCTAAATAATAGTTATAATAGCGAGCTAGAAAAGTCATAATCTGTAAAGATAAATCATAAAAATAATGACAACACCAGTAACCAAAACAACATAAAGATATTAGAAAGATATCATTGCAAATAAATTACATTTTCTAATCATATCGGATAAAAATAACATTTGATATTTTATTTTTTGTGATAGATTTCAAGATAGATTTACACAAAACAACAATCTTTCTTGGTTTGGTCAATTATCTATTCCTTAATTGGTGAAAGTAAAGAATATTTTGATGTATATTATCTTGATGATTTTGGTACAAGTCTAGTGAAGTTTATTTTAGTAATTTGTAATTTGGTAATTTTGATCAGTAAAACTAAAATATGGTAATGAAAAGTTTTCTTGCTTTGCATATATATGCGTTAAGAAAAATTTCCAACAATTTGTTTCGGAGTCAATTCCGCTTGTGGTTAATATAATCATATGCTTTTACGTGCTTCAAAAGATAAAAATAGTTAAAAGATGTTCAACTTTCGAAATTAACTATTTCTTGGAATTTTTTTTTTGTACAAAATTTTTGGTTTTTTTTTTTTATTTGAAAACAATAACAAAAAACCCCGAAAGATAAAACATGACTCGGGGTTTTATGTACGTTGCAGTTCTTTTCTCAATTACCAATGAACATTGTCTCCGAAATTATATCTGTTGATCTTCCTACATTTAGTATTATTTTTTTTAAATTCGAATGAATCTAGATATACCCAATGAGAATAGAAAAAAGAACAGTATATTTAGAATACAGTATTCGAAGTATTTGAAAAAGTTGATAAAAATTTTTAAAGATCATTAACTAATTAAAAGAGCAATAAATTTTTGATGAAAGTTAACAGTTAATGAAATAAAGTAATAAATTAATAATTTTTAAAATAATTTTATGGCTTAAATAATAATTTATAAGTGTTGCATAAAAAGAAGTATTTTTTTTTTTTTGATTTTTAAAGATTCTTATAAATAATTTTGATTATTATATTTTTTTAAAAAAAATTTTTGATTTTTGTCTTTTTTTTTGTGGTGATATTTTCAATATTTTGTAATATTATATATAAATAGATATAAATATATGTCAAATATAAATATGTATAAAGTATATATCAAATATAACTAGATATAAAATATATGTCAAATATATTTGGACTTATGAAATTTTAATTAAATTTTTGATTAAAGAATTATTCCAGAATTCTCATTATTATATATATGTATTTTTAATAACAAATCACTTCATATCTTTCATATCTATGTAAATTTAGATCAGGCAAAGGATTTGTTGTCTTTGGAAAATAATCTGTGATAACGCTAGTGGTCGTGGTCTTCGTATTATTGGATGGTTGAAAAAACGTTGCTGTTTCCGTAAAAATATTGATGCATTTTGACATTACGCGAACAATTTGAACCATAACCCAATGCATTTTTTTTTTTTATTTAAAATTAATAAAGAAACAATTTTTTTTGTTTTGTGAAAAAAAAAGCACGAAAAAATGATGGTTTATATATTAGAGAATTTTTAGTCCATGAATCAGAACAAATATAATAATAAATTATTATTATTATTATTATTATTATTATTATTATTATTATTTATTGTTATTTTATTTTTTTTCTTTGTATGTATGCAGAGAACTAATCGCTCAACTTCAACATGCACAATGCAGTTGATATATCACGTATTTTCCAAGATAGATTTAAGATTTTTAAATCGAAATATCGCAGTCAATATCAATCCAATCAATATGAAATTGCCACAACTTCATTCCTCTCATTGAAACAAATCTAATGAACCATGGATTGTTAAAATTAAACCAGTGGTTATTGAAATAATTATTGTTTATTTTATAAAAAATTTAATTATTTTATAACGAAAAATAAAGATAGCGCAACTCAAAATTGGAGCTTGTTTTTTTTTGGTGAACGACTCAATGGTCAATTTAATAACTATACTCGTTTTGCGATTTCATTGTACTTTTTATCATTCTTTTAATAAATCTTCTTGTGACTTCTTTCACAAAACAATCAAAATTCAAGTTAGAGTGGCATAACTTGAGAATCCAAATGGTTATATTAGTCATAGATGCCGTATTTCATCGTAATTGTTTTTTATTAAAAAAAAATATATGAAGCCTTATTTCAGGTATCGTGCATAAATCATCCTAATAACTACTTATTTAATCCAAAACAATAAAAGACATCTATATTGAACCTTTTTTTATGTTTAATTTATAATTAATTAATTAACTTTTTTTTAATTAATAAAGTATTTTTCATTTTTATTTTTTTTTTATTTTTTTTAGTAATATGTATGATTCCAAAATTAGCTAAATTATACTGCCGAATTTTTAGAAAAAAAATTTACGAGACCACATGATATATTATAATTATCCATATAAATGGCATGAAAACAATGATTCAATGGGAGTAATATTTCCATTTTGGATAATACATTGTATTTATTAATTGTGATTTTTTTATTATATATTATAATATTATAAACTTTGCAGTTGAAGTACAATATAATAATTAATTGCATTTTTTTTTTTAACGGTCATGTAAATATATATGCATTCAAATTGCAGATGACAACAAAATTTTGCTAGTTACATTGAATGATAAAAGGAATATTCTAACTAATATATAATTTACTTCATATATTGTATATATAATATTCATATTTATTATTAATATTTTTACACATTGTCACGTAAATTTTTTTTCACAATATTATAGAAAATCCCTATCCCTAACTTAAAGTAAAATAAGAAAACTCCCCTATTTGGTTTTACAAAGAAAACAACTAATTATTTTTTCAAAATAAGAATTTTTTTATTATTTCTATTATTTTTTATTTCGTAATAACATAATAAAACAAATCTGATATGTTCTTATAATAGGAATATAATTGATTAGCAAATGTTTGTATATTACTATTCGGAGTATGTTTTTATTTACTTGTTTGTTTGTTTGTGTTGTATAATAAAGAATATTTATTTAAGGAATTGGTTATGTAGATTTTAAGGCACTTAATTATTTTATAATAATTGATCCATATTTAAGGAAAAAATAAAAATATTATTGAACATTATAAAAATATTCTAAAACTGGTAATAGCCAATTTTCAAAATTGGAATTAGAATAGATAACTCTATCATCATTGTTTATTGAATCACGCATTTGTTAAGTTAATAATCAGTTGTCTATTTTGTTTTAATTATTACAGATGGTATCTTATTTTTTTGTTGATACTATTTATTTTACATTTTTTAAATTAGTTTTTTTTTTTTTATTTCTTTTCACATAACTTTGTTCTGTTATCTGAGCATTTTGTTTTACATTCTGATTTGACTTGGCTTTTTGAGGTTCATTTGTGATGATGTGATATAGTGATACAAACTTGGAACCTTATTTCAACAGATTATTCTGATTTTTGTTTCCTTGGTCTAACAAAAGTTTTTAGAATAGATTCAGCTATTTCTGTAATTGATAATGGTATTATTGAATCTTTTTGCTTTTTCAAATTTTAGATTTAAAGATTGTGTTTCCAAGCAAGGGATAATGTTGTTATTGATTTAAATAATTTTATCATATATAAATCTTGAATTAATAACAAATAAATAAGACAAAACTACAGTATACATGCTGTTCAAATTCTAATTCACTGACTCAATTAATGGAATCTTTTATAATGACTTAATACATTTAACATTATTAGGAAATTTTATGAGGCGAAAATTTGCACAAATTTTTACCATTGCAAAAATTGAGCAAACTTTTGTGAGTTTTTTTCCATTTTTTTGACCTCGCTCGCGACTTGCGAAGTACAGAGTAGTTTGTTTTTATGATATAGAGAACAGACTTGTTCTCGGCTACAAAATGGTATGTGTTTCATCCTTGTATCATCGATCTTTATTTTAATCCAAAAAAGTTTTGAAGAATTTCTATTTGGGAAGTCATTTCAGTTTAAAGAAAAACGTCCGTGAAAAAAATCGTGCGAAAATTTGCACGATTTTTCACGTTTTTCTTTAAATTGGAATGACTCCCCAAATATCGATGACACAGGGATGAAACACATACCATTTTGCAGCCAAGAATAAGACCATTCTATCTATTATAAAAATACACTAGTAAAAAATAGCTCTATGCTCTGCAAATGATCTGCAAATCTCAATGAATGATCTACAAATATCTCTATCAAATTTTTGCCTATTTTTTTTTCATTTGACTAGTGAACTTAGGCTTAATTTAATTTGTAAACCTTAATGTAAACTCACATGTCTTTAATAGTAATTTTAAATAAATTATCTTAGCTATAACTTGCAAAATGTCAATGCTAAAATTATAATTTTACTATTATTATAAAATCCTTATTTCAGATTTTCAAATGGTGTTAGAAATATTATAATAGAGAATTACTTTCTATTATATAAAACTGTAAAATTAACATATTATTCTCTGACAAATAATGATTACTGGTTGAATAAAGAAAAATAGACAAAATTTTTGATACAAATAAGCAGGAAGATATGCAAATAGGCGGGTAAATATGCAAATAGGCTAAGCCAATTTGCACCAAAAATTTTGCTGATTTTTGATCATTCAATATGTATACTAGAAAAGCTATTGTAGAACTTAAGAGAAGATCTTTTGAATAGTATTAGAAATATCTTAGTAAAATTATTTCCTGTTATATAAAATTAATTCAAAATAAAAGTATAAGCTTACAAATCTACAAGTTTGAATTGAATTTTGTAAGTTTGCAGATCTGAGCTGGCTTGTGAACTTGAGTTAAGCTCACAGACTCAAGTTGGACTTGCAAATCTAAATTGAACTCTTAGCTTGCAAAAACCACAGGTTAAAATGTTACCTATTCATCACCTATCAGATACAGAAGATCAGGTATCTATCGGGATATTGCATCATATATTGGATATCCAATAGGTGTAAAAAACATTTTATATTAGACCATCAGGAAATTTTATTAGGCGAAAATTTGCACTAATTTCACCACCTGCGAAAATTTGCGAAAGTTTTTTTGTGCGTTTTTTCGACTTCGCTCGCAGTTTTCGAGGCACGGAGAGATTTCTTAATAAGGTAGTTCAAAGATAGTTAAACGGCCTTGTACTTAGATATAAAACAGTATGTGTTTCATTCCTGTAGTATCGATATTCGCGGAGATAGCACGGTTTTAAAAAAAACCATTTGTGAAAAAATCGTGCGAAAATTAGCGCAAATTTCCGCTTGTTTTGCGTAGAAATGTTTTAGCAGATATTTTTCACATGTCATTAAATGTGAACATGAATATTATAAAATTAAAAGAGAATATGCAAACTATATAATAAGCTAGTTTTTACATTCCATTCATTGTTATATTGAATGTAATTTAAAGCAGTTTTTTCTTTGTAATCCTTTATTCAATAATTCTTTGATGATTTCCAAATAAATATATAACAATATTGCAAAACAGAATCTTTTCATTTATGGCTTAAAAGAAGCAGATCACACCTACCTTTAAATATACCTTAAAAGAAAATATCCCCATAATTAATAAATTATATATTAATTTTTCTTGGCGAATTCAAAACAATTGAAACGTGACTTACTTATTAATTACTTATTTAACTTTTATTCTTTTATGAACATATTGAATACATTAAATATATTAAATACTTCTTAAGAAATAGTGTTTTATGTGTTATTTGGCGTAGTAATAATTTTCAGCCACAAAACATTTCTGAAATTCACGTTTTATAAGTTCATTTGGCTCAAACGAATTAAAAAATTTTGAATAAAGAAATTTTCATTTCATTTACAATTTTTCAAAAAGTTTCAAAATATTACGAAAAATATTCTGGTTGGTGTAAATTTGCAATGAATTGCTAAATTCGCTCACCGAATACCAAATTTGTAAATCTAATGTAAATTTTATTGAAGAAATCTTAAAACTTAAATTACATAATCATATTTATGGTTTTATAATTAAAAATTTCCAATATGAACGAAATATTATTTTACTGTAAATCGGAATGTGTTAATTGTAGACGGAAGAAAGAAACGGTAAAAATACTGTAGTTATATATTGATACGAAGATGAATTATAAATCGATAAATTATTATAGAAATCGGTTTTAAAAATTTATAATGCGTATAAATGATTTTTTCGAAATAAAAAAAAAAAATTAAAAATTAAATAATTAAATAATAAAATTAAGGACTTATATAAGGAAAAGAATGAATAAAAATTAAAGTTCTTGCTTTTTGAATAATAAACGTTCCAAATTATGTGAAAACTCTATAAGTTCAACAGTTTTCATTGCTGGAAAATCTGGCAAGATAATTTTTGGATCAATCTGATCATGATTCAGATTATTTCTATTAATATTATTCATATTAATAGTATGCTTTATTTCTTGTGCTAAATTTTCAAAATTACCAATTCGTTCATTTAATACTTTTAAAAATTCATCATTGTGCTTGCAATAATGATTCTTAATGGTAATTTTGTTTTTTGTTTTTTTCTTTTGTAAAGGATTATTGGTACGTCTCACTGTCATTATATGAGTGAGGCCAGACGGATCTATGTATCCTTCTCTTACATTATATGATTTTCTGCCTCTTTTTGATTTTGGCTTACAAGTTTGAAGTGACATTTCGTTTTAGAGTAGTGACTGTTCTTGACATGATCAATTTTATCTGCCTATTTATCATAATTTATTCACACGTGACATAAAATTATGGTTGAATTTAGACTTATTGTTTTATATTATGAAAATCATTTTTCACTAAAATAGGTATGTATAACTATGAAACGTGTCTGTGTCACTATTAAACAAAGAGCTTCTTTGTTATGAAAACATTGATTTAATTCGTTTCACATTTCCGAAAGTCATATTTTGCCTATAAAAGAGAATAATAAATGAACTATTAATATAATAAAATTTGTTTTGTTTATGTATTAAAAATAAAACGTGATTTATTTTCAGGAGCCAATTCTTTTATTGGTAACTATTGTCGTCATCAGGCTTGGAAATACACTTGGGAGGCCTTTTTTGTTAATTTATATTCGTGACATATGAATCATCCAATTTTGTATATTTGAATCTCCTAATAATAATTTAAAGTAGGAAGTTAGTATACAACCTTGTAAAATCCATTTGTTTTTATAATAAACTCTCTAATAAGATCCCGATGGTTAAAAAAAAAATATACTAATAAAGCATTAAAAAGGAATCTCAAAATATCGACTGGCACTTTACCAAAGAAGTATTATACCCTTCACAGTTATCTCAAGAACCAAATTCATTCGAAGACATGAATAACGTGCGTTCAGACTCAAGATAAAAGACGAAGAGTTACCATTCTTTTGTCCAAACTCCATAGACGTAAGCCATATATTTATTTAACAGACAAGTGTCCTCTTTATAACGAAACAAATATACATAATATTCACATTCACAGCACTACTGAAAGAACACCCCCCACAGCAGATACTCGATGAAACCATTACAAATATTACAGAATGCATTAAAAAAAGAAAATTCCAAAATACCGACATCCTCAATAAAAGCTACGCCTCGTATTAAATCCAGCTCTCAGATATTGGCCCCAGACGCAGCCTCCAAACAAGTACCATAACCTTCATCGATATGATAAAAGAATACACACCCAAATCATTAACGCAAACAATCAGAGAAATACTCAAGTCAAACGAAGGTATAAAAAACGATTATCAAAAAAGCACTAACATTTTTGAGGAAAAAAATGGAACAGACGTGGTATCTGCGCATTCAAAAAATATTTATTGTGAGAAAAATTACAGGGAATGATAACTATGCAAAAAACAAAACCTGACAACAACAAAAAACAGCACGACGTACAATAAATCTGATGAAAAAAAATATACTAACAAAAACTGTATACACAAGCTCTGAAAAATGTCACACCTACACATAACATACTAACAATTTAATGGGAAAAAAAAATTTTATTTTAACTATTACAATTATTGCTTTAACTAATGGGGTTTCAATCATTAGCTCTCACTTTGCGAGCGTCGATGGGTCGGCTGGTCGTTTATGTTAGAAATAATTTAAAGTAGGAAATTAGTATATAATTTTATAATTTTTAATAAAGGACTCCGATGGTTAAAAAATTATGCGTTAAAAACAATACTAAGCTACTTAAAGTTTAAAACATATTGAATTTACTATAAAAGCTTCAGACCTATTGTTTATAATTTTCGGCTTATTGTTATTGTTAAGCAATAGGTCTAAAATGATCGACAATACAAATAGAGAATTTGCTAAATTACAATTAAAAATGAACTTATAAAACGTTTATTACTACGCCAACTAACACATGAAATAACAAAACAATCTATTTTATTTAATGCATTCATAAAAGGATAATATTTACTACCTAATTAATAAATTAAATTTATAAGCAATAGTTGCGTTTCAATTCTTTTTGAATTCGCCAAGAATGCAATGTATATTAAAAGTAAATTTGATCTGCTTCTTTTTAAGCCACAAATGCCACAAATGAAAAGATTCTGTTTTGCAATAATAAATGAATTATTGAATAAAGATTACAAAGAAAAAATTTCTTTATATTACAAACAAACAATATAACAATGGAAAACTAGCTTATTATATATCTTTTTAATATTTATAATTTTTATAAAATTCATGCTCACATTTAATGACATGTGAAAATAAATAAAATAAATATAACTTATACATTTTCTAAGTAAAAGTGGATAAAGTAATATTTAATTCTGAATTATAAATTTAACATAATCTCGATTCTTTTTTTCCTCGAAAATATGTTACAATAAATTTAGAATTTAGTTTATTAATTTTTTTCTTTTTAATTCCCTTTTTAATAGTTCGATGCAGTGTGACATTCTAGAACATTTTGTGCCAAGATATTATAATAAAAAAAAATTTATGTAAATTTATGTTCGTTTTTATGTAAATGTTTAGAACTTTTAAGCAAAGCAAATATTTTTAAAAAAATTTCCGATAAACTTTAGGATAAACTATTTGACAAATTTCTGTGTGGAAACTCGTTAAATAATTTCTGCGTTAAATAAGGTGTTATTATTTAGAAGTTTTAACTGACGATAATAAATGAAATATAAATTTTGTAATGATAAAATCGAAATAACCGTTCATTTGCATAATTTTTGTTAAACGTAAAAAATGAATATTAGCATTGTTTTATTTATTCGTCAAATTTCTAGAACAAATCAACTTTCGTTGTCTGTACTAAAAATACTTGGCAATAACAAACAAATAATATACAATCTTGGCGTGGCTTCGGATAAATTTATCCGAAACAATATAAATATAGTGGCAAGAAAGTGGCTAATGACAAAAAATTCAAAAATTCAAAAGTTCAAAAAGAGTTCAAAAAGAGTTCAAAAAAAAGCTATTATAATAAAAGAAAATGTACCCGAAGATTACTTTCAAACCTAATTCCTTAGCCACCGCCACTCGTAATCGTAGAAGAGCAGGTTCTAATGATTTCGATACTGATTTTGATACGAGAAGAAATGTTTTGTGTTACCGTCGTCGTTGCTCTTCAACATTGCCTTATCCCATTATTAAATCAACTCATAATAAATATGAAGAATGTTTAGATGATTTAAGTACCAGAGTTAATCGTATCGAAGAAGTAGTCAAAATTCTTAGTAAAACTGTTGAAACTTCATCGTCATCTTCTTCCATCAAAAAAACTTCATTTTCAAGTGCAATTTTTAATTCTGAAATTGTTGATTTTTCTAAAATGGATGTAAACGAATTAGTTTCATTTTCTAATAGATTGAGAATTTGTTTGCTTGGAAATCATGATATTGACAACAGTAATCAACAAAAGGATGAAGCAGTTGCTCCTAAAGCTAATAATCGCATGAACATTAGTGCCATTATTAATAATACTATAGATACGAAAGAAAAGAAATAATTTCTATATCTATATCTATATCTAAATCCTTTCTCTTATGGAAAATTTTGATAAACAATTCAAAAAAACATATTGATATATTAATATATATAAATATATGTATGAGAATTTTATGATTTTCCCCTAAAAAAATATGCTTTTCCGTAAAATATAAAGTGTTGTAACATACATTTGATATTGAGAAATATTCTTTAATATCAAATATCAAATTTATGACTACCATCATTTTTAAGTATCTTCATATCTTGTATATAATTAAGGATAAAAATAGCAAATATAAATATTAATAAGACAAATTGTATATCTTTATCACTGTATTCTTATAGTATTCTTTTGTACAATTCAATAAACTCTTTTCATTTTCAATATTTTTGGTTTTTGGTAATCATTTACATTTATGAATACGGAATATAAGGATTACTTGAATATGCTTGTAGAAGAAAAAAAAAAAGGTGTAACAACACATGTAAATTATGTCGAATGTGAATATACTGCACAAAAAGAGAATTGATTTGACTTATTTATTATCATTTTAATCAAAAAAAAGAAAGAAAAAGATTAATTCTGCATATTTACTATCATCTATGAATAAAGAAATCCAGTCGACCCTTGATGAGCACACCCCTCGGGACCAACAAATGGTGTGACTGAAGAGTTCTTATAGCAAGGGAATTTTAATATGGTCTCTTATATATAGAGACTAAGCACTGTGTGATTATAAGAGAGGAGTTCTTTTACAGAGGGTGCCTTTAGAGGGGGGCCGACTGTAAAAGACTTTCATTAGATCATTAAGTGAGAGTAAAGAATCTTTAAATAACAACATTGATTCTTCGAACAGCAATGATTCTTTTAACAATAACAATGATTCTTCTAACAACATTGATTCAGGAATTGGATTAAATTGAATTTTTATAATTACCTTTGACATTTGAAAATATATATTTGTGGCATTGTCATTATAGAAGGCTATCCCATGTGACTCACCTTCAGCGGAGACATTCAAGTTTTAATAAAGTTCAATTGTTCCTCTAATACAAAACATCATTATATTATTACACAAAAAAAATATTTAAACAGTTGAATCACTTGATTATAAAAATTCTATTATCATTATGATAATTGGTACATTCTGTTTCGATTATTTATAATAGATTTATATTTTGTAATATATGAATTATTGTAATATTTCTAATTTTCACCAAGAGGGAATAAGGAATTAAGTTAATGTTGGTGGGGGTTAGGGGTGACAGTTGAATTCAGGAATTATTAATTTTGTATAAAATGACCGATTTCAAGATTTAGAACCGATTCAACTGCAGTTTATTTTATACAGAGTTCAACTGTTTATTTAATATGGTTAAACCATCAGTTCAACCATTCATTTTATAACAATAACAATAATATATTGTTATTGAGGTCTCTTTTTATAATATGAAAAATTATAATAGAAGTCCTACTGATGAATATCTGATGATGAAACATTAACTTTGCATAGAGAAGTCTAATTTTGATAAAGATGGCTCCAAAGTATTTGCTTTAGTGAGAGGAATCTAATATAAGCTATATATCACAAAAATTGGATCACAAGTTAGTAAGATAACTTCATATAACCTGAAAAATAAAAAATTATAATAGAAATTTTAAACAAATATTTGATTAATAATTTGGTGTGGAAATTTTCAATCTGAATAATAATTTTGTCTTCTATGAAAAACTATTTTGATTTTTTTTCTTGAAATTACAATTTCGGGGCCTCAAAATAATTTTGTGTGCAAGTTATACCTGCCACCCAAATTCAAAATCCAAATGCCGAAATCCCAAATGCCGAAATCCCAAATCCCAAATCCCAAATTATGATTAGTATTTTTTGCCGAAATCCCAAATCCCAAATCCCAAATACTAGTAATTTGGGATTTTGGTATCCCAAATCCCAAATGATTTGGGATTTGGGCAACACGTATAGTGCAAGTATCCCTTAATCCGTCTAGTGGGCAAATTTGTCCACTAAAATTATTTTTGATCGACTTTTGTGTGACTACTCATGATTTCGTTAAGGATCACCTCCCCAATTACTAAGCAAATATAAAAGTATGCTACCTTGCTGATCAATTCACATTTTATTTCCCACGATTCTTCTAATAAACTCAAGTTCCACCTCCTCCCAAAAATAACTTTCATGTCCTCTTCAACTAGACCAAATGCAAGTTTAACTATAAGCTCCTCCTCAAGTTTCTCTCCTCTCAGAAATACAGAAATATATGATGATGACAATGAAGAATATATTCCACTTTTAACATCCCATCAATATTCCTTGGATGATCTAGAACAAGACCTTGAAAATGACGAAGAGAATACCACGAGTGTTCCTAGGGATAGACGTAAAGTAACAGTATGACTGCCTCCACCTTGTAATTTCGAATATTTTGTTCACCTGAGGCCACAACATCGGGAATTTGTTAATTTACCTGCACATTATGATACAAATTTTTCAAAACCAATAAACCTTTTTCTCTTTTTTTTTTACTAACAATATGTTAGATATGATAGTTACGAATACAAATCTGTATTCATTGTCAAAAAATACTGATGGTGTTAAAAGACAGTGGCAAAACATAACTCGTAAAGAGCTAATTATTTAGATTGCATTGGTAATCTATCAGGGACTTTTTAAACTACCTTCAATAAATCAATACTGGAATGAGGATACGAAGCTTCCAATTCACACTATTTCGAAACAAATGTCATTAAAACATTTTGAGCAAATTAAAAGATATCTGCATGTCTCTTCTTCCACAGCTACAATCAACAATTACTTCGAAAAACTGAAGCCATTACTCTCAAAAATTTGGGATGTATCAAAACAACTTTATACACCAAGTTCGAATGTTTTGGTGGATGAAATGATAGTACGATTTTTTGGAAGGAGTGTTCATATGGTTAGGATAAAGAACAAACCAACTTCCGAGGGTTTCAAGATCTTGTCACTTTGCGAATCAGGATATACGTACACTTTTTTGTCTACGTTGCATATCTCTCCAAATAATGTATCAAAGGTGAATAGCCTTAATCAGGTTAGTTGTCTGGTCTACCATCTCGTCACACAAACCATATCACCGCTTTTCATATAACATCTATATGGATAACTATATTTTCAATATCCCTCTATTTCAAACTCTCCAGCTAATAGGTATCGGTGTTTGCAGAACCATCCGTAAAACAGTTTCGGGATTCTCCAAAGAATTAAGAATAGATAAAGGCACCAAATTAAATTGGGACGTTCGTTCTGGTATCGTGGTAAATGGGGTATTAACCATTTTCTGACAAGATAATAGATCAGTTACAATGTTATCAATGGTTCACAGTCTTATCAGTGAGGAATGGGAGGTAGAATGTAACAGACGTTAGCTAAGAGAGACGAGCACAAATGCAGCAAAGATTTTTTTTTCTTCATTTAATTCAAATTTATTTATTTTTTTTTTTTATTATTTTTATCATATTTATTTATTTATTTTTAATTAATTAATTAAAGGTACACGTGGTTTTTAGTACTGAATCAAAAAAAAATTCTAAAAATTCCTAAAATAATTGATGATTATAACTACCACATGAACGGCGTGAATATTGCAGACCAATTGCATTCGTATTACAATATACAACAAATAGTACGGAGGAACTGGATACCTCTTTTTTTTTAGTTGTTAGATACTGCAATAATTAACAGCTATCAGATCATCCGGATGCTAGGATCGACACAAGAACAAAAGGAATTTTTCCGTGAAATTGTCTGGGACCTTGTTGACCTTGCGAACGATACTACGGAAGTTCAATTAAGAGCTGATCTGAGGAGAAAAACAAGAGACGAAAAAAAAAAAGAGATCAAACGGTCGAAGGTGACAAAAAACTTTCAACTTTCGAATTAACGACTTGTGTCTGGAAACCATTTGACAGAGTGGAAAGAGTAATGGGAAACATGTCAATGGTGTACTTGGTTGGCAAGCAAAAAAAAATTTGATATGGATTGTAAAACGTCATATCAAAGTCAATTTTGGTCTGCTGTAACAACGATCAAAATTGTTTTCGCAATTTTCATACTCAAAATTAAAAAATTAATTGTCTCTTGTATTGGAGGTAAAGAACTTAAATGAATTAAAAAAAAATTTTTTTTTTAAATCAAATTATTGTAATTAAAATAATTGTAAATATGCAAGTTCATCTTTAATAAAAATATAATTTTTTTTTTAATCATAATTTATTTATTTATTAATAGAAGTAATTGTAAATACATAAACTTAATATTTAAATTGTATAATCAATTTAGTTTGTCCAATTTCTTTAATAACATAAAATTTTAATATGAATTGATACCCATATTATATAATAATTTTTGTTCGTTTAGATATAAAGTTTATGATATAAACTTCTCGAGCAATTTCCAATAGGTTCATCACTTAAAGTATCACATGGCCGAAGTGTAGCAAATATTATGTAACTCAAGTTCGTAGTCATTTTTTAAGTTACACTACACATGCCATAATATGACTTAATAATTTCCATATGACCTGACTTTTCAAGAATTGGCCTAGTTAATTTAAGTTAACTTTTAAATAGAAAATTTTTTATTGGGTCAAATTTTTTTCAAATTTTTTTAGCAGGCAAATTTGCTTACTAAAAAAGGATGGTTTAAGGGATATTTGAAACTATACATGTTCCCAAAATTGATTTTGAATTTTTGAGGTATTTCGACTTTTTGAGATTTATGCAAAATCTATTCT